ATTTTTAGGAGCTGTCTGCATGTGGTGCTCATACACACAACTCTGAGTGAAAAATACCGTTTTGTCCTCTTGTCAATTTACATATGACGCTGCAATTTTTCCTAATATATTTATTTATATCAAATGGCAGGCGTTTTGATGGTTATCATTAGCCCTTTAGTTGATTTCAGACTTCACAGAGAGAGGAAGGAACATCGAAGGGAAAAAAGTCGAGAGGAAGGGGCAGAACAGAAGAGTGTTTTAAAGATGTAAAAGAGACAGACACAAAGGTAGAAAAAAGATAAGATGAGTACTGTGGAGTGGTGTAATATGACATAGTGTCGGGTCATAATAGTTTGAACTGAGAAGTCAACTGCCAGTTAATAGACTTTTTTGCCGTATGAGTATACGTTGCCCAGGGTGCACCACGTGGAGGTAAGTCTATCGCACAACCCCTTTGCGTTGGGTTCAAATTTTGTCGGTGTAATTTTCTCGAAGTGAGTATGTGTTTTAATATATGTGAAGTACATAATATACGTTGCGTGTGTACGGCGTATAAATTCTGCCTTTGCCGGTTACAAGATTAGTCAACTTTGAGACTTCCTTCTGCCAACAGGAAACGCCCAAATCTATCCATCTACCTATCTATCTTGAATGCTGTTTTAGTTATTTATTTATCAATCATCCTATTGCTCTCTGGTTAAAATTATGAAATTTTATTTTTTTTTTGGAATTCTATTGGATTATGTGAATTGGGAGCAAAAAATCATGTTGGAATAACATCATTTAAAAAGGGATCTAATTTGGACGGATTGGTATAAATTGTTAAATGGTAACCCATGATCGAATTGCTCACATTACAATTCGTAAAATTAGTAGAAAATGTGGTCTTAATGAAAACTTATTTAGGAAAAGAGATCTCGTAAATAGTTCAATGTAAAAAGATGAACGGACATCTCTATTTCCTGACGAGGCTACTAGATTACTAGATTACGTAACAACGTGATTGGTTCTTTCTAAAATGTGATATGAGTTAGCAGCAGCAAAATGGGTGAATCCACTACCAAATTACGGCTTTCTTGACCAATCATTAACCTCTGTTTAACCTAATCCCCCATCCTGATCATGAGTCGCTCCCTGCGCGTACATTTGATTCGCAATATACGTCCTGAATAAACGTGCTCCTTGCTACACGTCTGTTTCCTTTATAGCTGGGCTATACCTTAGTTGGTTCTGGGAGTCTGGCTAGATGTAGGAGAATCTGCCATAGAGATTTCTGAGTCAGTCAGGCTTTATTAAGGCAGCAATCCTCTACAAACTTTAATATATCCCTTCCTTGCGTAAAATTTAAAAATAAAATGGCGTACTTTTCCAAACAAAATCAAACATAGAATGGCTAGAGTAATTGAATTAAAATAGTTTAGTTATATTTATAAGCCTTACTTCAGTCTCAAAATTATATTGATTTTCTTTTGCTTTTTAGCATTTTGCAATATGGTATACTGTATTGTACTAAAATATATTTTAGAGGGACATTTTGCCACCATTTCCTTGTGGGCAAACAACCGAAAGCTAAAATAAATAAATAAATAAAATAAATGAAGAAGGAGGTGGATTTAAAATGCAATTGGGAGCTAAATCCGCTAAAGTCTAAATTCATTTGTTTCGTGTTTTCCGATTGCGCAATAATTGCTTAAAGAATAACACATGTACTAGTATTCAAAGTTACTAAATCATGACCTAGAGTACTGACCAAATACATATCCACAATCTGCAGTGCTAATTCAAGTCTATAGTTTGCTTTGCCAAAGTTTGAGAATGAACTCGCATGATGATAAGCAGTTATCGTGTCTCTAACCAATCAGAACCTAAATGGCCGATAAGTAGCTCCGATATGAAAAAAAGCAATTTTTGCGTAATTTTGTTGCTCCAGGGAGAATCAAAGGTGTTTTAAAAATCTCCTAAATTAGCATTTGATTGATCAGATCATTGTAGCACATCTACACAATACCGTCGTGAATGGTCCTTCGGTTTCGACAGCTTAAATATCTATCAATATTTTTGTCTTCAACATCCACGGCAATAAATCATAGTAATATTTTTAATTTGTAACTTTTTTGATAACTATGTCTCTCAGCTTTTCTTGAATACTTAAAAGCGTTTGGTTTTATAAGATAATTCACTTTAATTTATATTGATCAGATGATGTTGTGTAGATATTGATTAAAAGTTCTTGTCAAAGTCTTTGGTAAATTAGTAAATTAGATTAATCAGCCAGAAATTTAGTCATTTTTAAATAAAGCCCAAAATTTTGCCCCATATGGAAACAATAGCTACAAAATTTGAAAAAAAATGAAAATTACTTTATTGTATACAATTCAAAAGTAAATAAATTTAAAAACACACAACTTTGCTCTCTTGCTCGATTTATAATTTTAAAATTGAATAATGAAGTATAGATGAAAATTTTACAAAAAAAGGGTAAGAATACAAGCAATTTCGCTCAGTTCCACTTATCCCAGAGAATCAAGAGATTTGATTCCAATGTATCGAATTTTCAGAACTTGGCTATCCTGGTCGAAGCAATCAGGCTTCCGAACTTGACGAAGTTTAAGATTCTCTTTAAGTCTTCTGCGAGTTCTGTACCAAACTAGAATTCCAATTGAAATCATTATGAAGAAATATCCAAATATCAGAAGTAGAGCAACCGCCTCTGAACTCATAAATCCCTTCGAGGATTCATCGCGGAAGTCCATATCTTCATTTTCATCCTCCATAATATACTTTGGACAGTTTTCCAAAATCGTGCTATCTAGTCAGCATATTCTGAAATGCCATTGGTCAAGTAAATATATACAGTCAACCAATAGTGATTACGTTGCCTTGTGTCCTCAAATTGTAATATTGTAACGTTTTCAGATTTCCGTCATCCGAATAAGGGCAATAACAGCAATGTCAAAAATTTGTTAAATATAAGTTATTTTAAACATTTACTAGTCGCTTAAATACAAATAAATTCATTTCTTCATGCCAACTTCTCAAATGTAAGTTAAGCAGCTTTAATCACCCTTAAGAGATCTTTATAAAACCCACCAATCAGGTTTGACAACATTGGCCATTAACTAACATTCTCTTCTAAATATTCTACGTCATTAAGTTTTATTTTTTAGGATCGGGCCGTGATAAGGCAAACCCAAAAAATTAATTCATCTGGGTAACGTATACTCATAAGATAAAAAATTCTATTAACCCCCAGTTGACTTCTGACTTCAAACTACCATCACTCCACTGTATATCATATTCAACCAATTCCACAGTACTCAACTCACCTTTTTTTCTACCTTTGTGTTTATCTCCTGTGCATCTTTGAAATACTCTTCTGTTCACCTCCCCCCTCTCGACTTTTTTTCACTTTGATGTACTTTGCCACTCTGTGAAGCCTGAAGTCAACTAAAGGGCTAATGATACCTATCGAAACGCCTGACATTTAATATAAATAAATAAATATAATAGATGGAGAAGATTCACTTTGGCACCCTGACCTCCATTCCTTGATCGCATCCGACTCCTCTCTCATTTACCCCACTGCCTCTTGTAAGAAAAATCT